TTTTTTTCTTTAATTCTTTGATATCTACTCCTTTACACAATTTTTTGGTCAAAAGAATGGGATCTGAGTCGTACTTCTGGACCTGGATAGAGATGTGACATTCTAAACTACCCAACAGATTATAAGATTACAAAGATAGACTATTGTCCCCTCCCATAGGAGTTAATCCAAATGAGCCTGTCAATCACACACACAGAAAAATGGTCCATAGTATCAGGTTCCAGAAACTTCAAGAAACATGATATACCTGACAGGCTTAGAATATGAGATATATATTTATACATCGCAGAAGCCCCTCCCTCACCGGAGCTGCTTATAGGATCTTTGCCACTCAACCTGCCTGAATTCTGAGTTCTAACTCAGAAAAGCTAACTTTTTTCTCACTTTCTATTTCCTTTTTCAGACACTGCCAAAGCCCTAAAGTCTTGCTAGCCAGTGTGCTGGATAGTTCTAGGTTAACTTGACGCAAGCTCGAGTCTTCTGAGAGGAGGGATCCACAATTGAGAAAATGCCTCCAGCTATAAGGTGTTTTCTTAATTTGTGATTACTGGGGGAGGGCCCAGACCATTGTGGGTGGGGCCACCCCTGGGTTGGTGGTCCTGGGTTCTATAAGAAAGCAGGCTGAGCAAGCCACGAAGCAGCACTCCTCCATGGCCTCTGCACCAGCTTCTGCCTCCAGGTTCCTGCCCTGCTCAAGTTTTGCCCTGACTTCCTTTGATGAGCAGTATGGCTGAAATAAACCCTTTTCTCTCCAGTTGCTTTGCTCTTAGTGTTTCATCACAGCAATGAAAATCCTAACTAAGACACCCTTCCATGCCCGGCATTCTTATCCCCCCTCTCTCTGAAGACTTTCTCTGGCGCAGTTGCTTGCAGACCTCTGTGGCCAAATCTGCCTGCTTCCTGGACTTCTGACTTAGAGATCTTCATGTTCCTCCTCTGATCCATCCTCCTCTCCCGGCATCTGCCAGGACCCCCAGCTTCTCCATTTGCTGCTGTCTCTCTACAAGGCTAACAAACTTGTCTTTTGGTCTCCGTCTGAGTCCATTTTTAAATGCTTTTGCCTGTGAGACTAAGAACTTTCAGACAGAAGCCTGCATTCCCCAGTGGTAAAAGGAGCTGCTGTGATGGAGCCTTGAGTCTTAGCTTACTGCAGTGCAGCTATGCAGAACCTGGGCAGCTCTCTCTTGTAAAGAACACAGAACCATCTGGGCCCAAATCAATCCTTGGTGTTAAATGGTATGTCTTGCCCCCAGCATGCATCACTCAGAAATCCCTGCCTATCCTACCCAAGATCCATCTAGAACCCTCCCTGCCCTCGGAAGTGAGACTGGTGGAAATGGACTAGACAGGATGCTCTTTCCTCCTCAGGGTACTTTAATGATAGCCAACATTCCCTGATCTACTGTGGGATGCCAAACTCGGGGCTGGTGCCTCACACAGGGCATTTGGATCTCAATCCCCCCATAAGCACGTGAACATGAGAAAAACAGACTTAGAGAGGCAGAGGCCTTGTCTAGCTGACATTCTGACTCCATGCCACATCCTTGTCCCATGAATGGTATCCAGGTCATTTAAAATTCCCCATTCCATCCAGCCACATACCCGTGCATAATACACAGTACATAGGCCCTGCCCCATACATTCTGATCCTCAAGATGTGAGGGTGAGGCTGAGACTCTCATGCTGGATTTTAACAAGCTTGCTGACTTTAGCGTGCCTGCACACTTTGCAACAGGTACTTCTATCTGTTTGCCTTCAGCGTCTTGTTTATGCCCCTCCCCCGCCACCTGAAGGACCTCTTGGGCTGGAGCTGAGTCAGCTCTGGTCTCCAGCTGCCTGTGCAGTACCTGGTCCAGCCTTGACATTCCATGCGTTTCTGTGGAGATACTGAGTGTCATGGAATGGTCCCGCTCTCTTTGCTGGCATTCCACAGGTAGCGTATCGAGTTAGCACATCTGCTTTCAGCTACCTGAAACACCACTCATGTGCAGCCTCTCAGGGCTAATTGGCAACGTGCACAGCACGCCTGCACCTGCAGTGCCCTCGCAGCTACTCACCCAGCCTCCCTATCTGCTGGGTTCCCTGCCACCCACTCCTGACCCTGGGAATGCTGGCTGAGTATCACTTACCATAGTCAAGCACAAGTAGCGACATGAGAGTCACAGACAGACTCAATAGGTACCCAACTAGGAGACTCCGAACAACGCGCAGTATGATGTCGGAAGCCCTTTCCTCCCCGGTTCGTGTGGCGATGATGTACTGGAGCACAAATGTCCCAAGATTTTGCTTTGCTGCATGTTCACCAAGGACTGTTGCTGGGCACTCTACAGTCATAAAATGCTAATACTGGGTCCTGTGGAAGGTGGGCCAGATCAAGCTAAAGCAGAGCACTTGGTGGTCTGGGATTTTCTTTAGATTCAGAATGCAGACTCTCACTCTCATTCTCTTGACAGGCTATGCATGCAACATCACCCAGATGTTTCCTTTCAATCTTCCTGGGACCACTTTTTTTCTTAAAATTTCTTACTGATATGTGAGGACTCTACTTTGGAAGTCATGAGTTGGTACAGTGCCTATTGCTTATTTTATAGACTGAACCAGGGAAGGACAAAGGGCCTGCCGGCCCTCACAGTCAACTAGTGTTGGAAGCAGGGTCCAGGCTCCAGGGTGCTAGTATAGCTGTTAATCCCTGCGTCTCACATGAGATCATCATATGCATTTAACATTTAGTCTAGCCGTTAGGGACTTTGTACTTTCAACCTCCAGGAAGCATCCTTCTTCTCCAGAGTCCAGCTGTTTGTTCACTGCATCCAGAGGTGAGACACTAGGCATCCACAGAGTGTTCAGTCTTTGGCACACTGCAGCTTGCCTGACCCTTTCACTCTCTACCCCTCCCTGTGCCCCACAGAGGTTAAAGAAACACACAGCAGGGAGGCTGGGGCTTCATAGGACTGGAGGCTTTGAGAAGTTAGCCAATTTGTCTGCATCATTTAGATAGCAATGCAATAGTCTCAAGCCCCTGAATTCAAGACTTTAGACTTCTGCTCCACACACCCTTTGGCTACAGGGCCCTGGTGTAAAATGCAGAATATGAAGCCTTCCCATTGTACCATGCCAGGATGCTTAATAGGCTGAGGAATTCTTTTTGTAACGAGGCGCAGGGCAGAGCTCACTAACCTCGCCCCTCAGGGACAGGAAGCGCAGGGAGTGATACAATCCCTCCCTCCGGTGGGACTATGTGTCTAATTCCTTCTCGGGGCCTTCTGAAGCCCTTGGCCTCAATTATGTTCCACGACCAGCAAGTGACACAAATTAATTGTCTTCAGGGAAAAGAAGGGCTGTCTTTTATCTGTTTGAAAGTTGCCACCTTCTTGTTTCAAGGATTGACCTCATAACCTCCAAGGATGGATGGAGAATATGGCAGCCAGTGGGTGGGATGGAGGAGGGTGAGAGAAGACAAGCAGAAAGAGGGCAAAGAGGGAGAGGACGAAGGGTGGGAGAGATGAATAGGCACAGGGCATAGGGGCCTGTGCAATACTAAGGGCATGGGAGCAGAGGGTTAAACACTGGGCCAGGCTGTGGTCCATGGAGGCTTCTGGGTCTCCAGGAAGGCTGAACTACATCAGCAGAGTGCTAAATGGTTTTGAAGATGTAAACTCCATGACAGAGGGGACTGGCCTTGTTCCGTTTACCAATGTGCCCATGTGTACCATGGTGACTGGCACACAGTAGACTCTCGATGAAGCTCAATCTGTTGAATGGATGGATCAGCCTGTAGACATTGGCTAAGCGAGGAAGTCGGGGAAAGCCATCTGAGGGGGAGATGGCTGTGTAAACAGAGACAGTTGGAACGACCATCAGTTCTCCACAATTAGTGCCAGTGTGCTGAGGGTCGGGGGCAGATGTGAGTAGGGACAGACGAGCAGGGTCTGATGAGTTTGTCCTGGGTATCTCTGATAAAGAGGAAATATTAGCAGATTGTCTATAATCCTATTTCATCAACAGTCACTCTGTGAAGGATATAAATAGGCTCCAAAAGTTTCATTAGGTCCCAGATTAGGAATCTGGTCCTGATGCTGACCTGGAGCCCTGTGATATCTTCATAGTGGGTATGTAGTCCTGCAGTCCTGCCCAGGGATTTTTCTATAACACAGACAGGTTTAGATAAGGAATTTGTTAGAAAGAAATTACGTATGGATTTCTTTCAAAGGCAAACAAGGTGATCTTTGATCTTTTCTTTCTGTCCTCATGTGTATGTGGTGTCCATGTGTGTGTTCACATATTAATGGGTGCACATGTGTATACAGCTGTGCATGCTCATGGAGGTCCAAGATTTACATCAGGTCTCAGCCTGATTCACTGAGGCATGGTCTCTCAGTTGAACCCAGAACTCACCAATATAACCAGTCTACCCAGCCCACTTGCTCCAGGGATCCCTTGTCTCCACTCACTGGCATTGCAGGCAGTCGCCATACCCACCTCACACTTGTGAGGCAAGCACTTTAACCCCTGAACCAATATAATCGGTTTTCATTGTGTGCGCTTTCCATCTCCTATTCCTCTCAGATGATGGTCACTAAGAAGGTGACCAGCAAAAAGTAAAGAACTGTGCTGTTCTGTTGTATTAAGGTCACTTGTTTGTCCTGGCCACCCGGCAGCTCAGACTGGAAATAACCACCCAGAAACTATATTGTTTAAATCACTGCTTTGCCCATTGACTCTAGCTTCTTATTGGCTAACTCTTACATCCTAATTTAACCCATCTCCACTAATTTGTGCATCACCACAGGTCGTGGCCTACCAGCAAGGTTTCAGCATGCCTGTCTCCAGAAGTGGCTCCATGGCTTCTCTCTTACTCTGCCTTCTTTCTCCCAGCATTCAGTTTATTTTTCCCTGCCTACCTCTATTCCTTGCACAGGACCAAGACAGTTTCTTTATTTACCAATGGTATTCACAGCATACAGAGGGAATTCCACATTACTGTTCCACTGTTGTTCCAGGCTAAAGGGAATTGCCCTAAACAGGTCCATGAGCAGGCCTGGGCTGAAGACCTGGGAACTCGCCAATGCATCTTCTACAGGAAGGTATGGTGGGGAGAAGGGACAAAAGCATTAAAGTCCCCAGGGCTGGGCTCAGTATGAGACAGGAAACCAAGCAGGCCTGGAGAGTGCAGGGATGAGCTAGTCCCCTAGTCTCCACAGTCCTCGGACTTGCCTTGTGCTGAGGCAATGGGAGGTGAGGAGGCAGAGGCTGTGAGGCCCAATAAAACAGAGTGTCAACCTGGATCTGCCACATGGTAGGTAAATGGATTCAGATAGCTCAATAAAAGCAAATAAAGTGTGTGTGTGTGTGTGTGTGTGTGTGTGTGTGTGTGTGTGTGCCTGCTCGTGTGTGCACAGTGAAAGGAAAGGGAACATAAAGGGGATATAAAAGGAGAGGAAGAGATCTTCAGGCAGGGGAGAAGGGACAGTGGGATCCATGTGACATGAAACCAAAGGGACTCTTTAGGAGATGACCTGGAACGGGGGAGGGGGAAAAGGGCTAGGACAGTGGAATGGGGAGCTATAAAAACAAAGTATATTGATGTGCAGATGCCAGGAGGAAACCCATTACACTGCGTTCTGAAAACTAAGTGTTTTTAAATGCATGTAGAATACTGTACACTTTCTGGGCAAAATCTTGTCCAAGCCTCATCATACTAGAAGATAATCTGGGATCTGGTAGTTCCTTTGTTCAGATGAGGAAACTAAAGGTCAGATAGTGAGCCTCCGTCACCCTGGACAGTAGGTCTGAGACCACTTCATTCTGGATGCCTGACCTCTCGTGTGCTGTGGGAACAGGAGAAGCCAGACTTGCCAGCAAGATGCCTCAATCTTAGCAAAAAAAGCAAGAAATCCAAAGCTGGGCAGCCATGGATTTCAGATCCCTTTAGTCTTGTGCTAAGGGGTTTGGGGATGGTAACACTAAGCTTCATTAACATAGAGGTGGGGACCCCAAGACTTCTGAGCTGCCTTCCCAGCTTCCTGGGTGCCCTGCCCACTGCCCTTCTCTCCCAGGCTGCTGCCTAATTATAGAGTTGTAGATGCAAATTATTCTAATAACTGGTGCTAATTTATACACATTTACATATAATTTGCAATTCACTTGCTGTCCACATTAGGTCAAACTTCACTAATTCAGACCAAAGAGAGGAAGCCTAATCTGTAGTGGGGAGTGTAGGTTATGGAAAGCGCCAAGAGTTTATCGCCATTGAGTTTCCTCTCTGGCAGGAGCGGCTGCTTTAAAATGAGACACATGAGGTTAAAACAGGCATCTTCAAAATGCTGCTTGAAAAATCTTTAAAAAACCTCCTCCCAAAGCCGGGCTCTCAGAAGTTCAAAAGCCAAAAATTAATTCCTTTTATTTCTCTTTGATTTCTCTATTTTCTCCATGGAAAATAACAGCAAGTGAGTAAAAGCCCCCCATCCCCTGCTTGCCGTGGCTGAGCCCAGGAGTGCGATGGAACTCCACAGCCATCTCCTTTTGAGCCCATCTTCTTCACTAGCACAAAAATCCCCTGGTTCAAAAGTGAGAGAAAAAACAAGTCAGAAGGTGATTGGGCATATATATTCATGGATCACATAGGCAGTAATCACAATCCCAAAAGGGCGATGTCTCTAGTGCTTAAGGGACACGCTGGGTGGTGGCTTTAGGAAAAGGGATCCTGTGTGCTATAGTTTGAATGTGAATTGTCCCCATAGGCTCAGGTTGGAGCAGGTCCGGTGGTGCCATTTTGGAATGCTGTGGAACTTTTAGAAGATAGAGCCTTACTGGGAAAAGGGAGTCACGGGGATGGACTTTGAAGTTTAATGATCCAGATGCACTTCCTGTCCACTCTCTGCTTCCTGACTGTATGTAATACAACCAACTGCTTCACACTCCTACCCTTAGGCCTTCCCAGCTGAGAAGAACTTAACCTCTTCAAACTGTAAGACAAAAACATGCCCCTCCTTTAACGTGTTTTGTATCAGTTATTTCATTATAGCAGCAAGAAAAGCAACTGATACATTGTACAACAATCAGTGAACACACACAAATCTGTACATTATCTAGAAGCAGACTCCGAATAGAGGTTCTTGCTCAAATGACCTGTTGGGCATGAGAAGAGCAGCTTAAATGCTAGGGCAAACGTGTTTTCCACCGGCTTCAGAGGGAGTCCACAAACATGTGGTCATGGGAAACAGGAAATCCTCCCCAGAGCTATCAACCTAGAGAATCTCAGTCTACCTCTGCCCCATGCCAGTCACTCACTGAACTCAGCTCCTAGAATCCAGAGCTTGCAATCCATCAAGTCAGGTGGTCAAAACACACATTTGGTCAGGCACCACCAGGTTCTGGTCTAGTCTGCCTTCAGATCGAAGCCAGTTGCTTGTCCCCGTAACCTTATTTCATTCACACATGGCACTCCTGGAGTTCTGATAGATTGCAGTTCCAACCTTATGTGTATTGTTCTCTTTTCCTTATCTAACAAGTACTTCAGGTCGGTTAACTTTATTTACAACGCATGTTTACTTAGCTCTAGATCCTGGAGCCTCAGGGTCAGGGCACTTCCATTGGTTCAGTTCTGGTGAAGAACTTGCAGTGCAGGGTGTCACAGAGTTGGGAGCACATGTGGAAGGAGATATCACACCTCAAAACCGGAATCCAGAGAGACTGGCAGGGCTAGGCTCCAGCTTTCACATACCCTTCTGGTGAGAACCAATCAAGACATCACCAACAATGCATTAATCCTTTCTCACTGGGTTCAATTATCATGATAACATCAATTCAGAAGGACATTCCGATGCATTGTAGGCTGTCCAAAGAGTCTAGGACACTTTAGATTACATTAGGAACTAAGAATTGACATTCTCCGTGAGACAAGACCGTGGATGTATATTGTCAGCTATTTCATATTAATGCAAGCCGTGTTTTATCTTTCTTGCTGATGGGCTAAGAAAATGCATTCACCAGATCAATAGAAACATAGCATTTACCCAAGGCTATGTTAATCAACCTCGTGAATCTGGGAGGATTGGTACAGTAGCAGCTACAACAGGGACTCCTGTTTGGTCAGCTCTGCAGCAGCTTAGTTGTCTACCATGAACCACTGTCTGCTTGGGCTGTACAGAGGCCAGACTGACGAGGTACACAGGAACCACTTACCCTGACTAAAATCCAGGAGGGCTGCTGACCTCAGCATCTTTCCAATGAGTTAGGATATCCCTGATCTTTGCCATTCTCCCTGGAACAGGATATCAAATTTCATTTCCTGCCCAGGTAGAAGGAAGGAAGTTTCAGGGCCTTTGTAGTTGCTGGTCTTTGTTCTATATATCAAAGTACTAACGTCTTTCTAAATATGTATGTCCCAATTATATGTCAATAGTTAGGGAAATACCCAACAAGTAGATCATTTTGAGATATACCAACAGATTACCTGGACATTTCTGACCTCTCTAAGAAGGGTGCTGCATTAGCTAGTGTTCTCTAGAGAAACAGAGCAGATAGAATGAATGAATGAATGTATGGGCGGGGTAAACTGCAGCATGTCCCATTGAATTGATGCTATCATGTTAACTGGACCAATGAGAAGAGGTTAGCACACTGTTAGTGACATCCTTATTGGTTCTCACCAGATGATTATGTGAAAGTTGCAGTTTGGCCCGCCAGTCTCCCTGGCATCGGGTTTTGAGGCATGATCAATCTCTCCTTCCACATGTGCCTGACAACTTTTTCACCAGATTGGAATATATATAATAGTGTCTTACAGGTTATGCCGGTCATAGTCCAACTAGTCAAACAATGGCTGTCTCCCGATGAAGAGTCCAAGAATCCAGTTCAGTCCATGAGGCTGGGTACCTCTGCTGATCTTCACTATATACCAAGATTCCAAAGAAGTCAATTTGAATGCTAGCGAAGGAACGAGCTGGCCAGTGAGAATGAGAGCAAGCAGACATAAAGCAGGGACTTCCTTCTTCCTTGTCACCAGAAGGTAAAGGGAAGGCTCAGGTTTTAGGTGGATCTTCTCAACTCAAAAGATCCAGACTAAGGATGGGTCTTCCCACCACAAATGTTTCAATCAGGAAAAATCCCCTCACCGGTATTCCCAACTGCTTGGGTTTTAGTTCATTTCAGACATAGTCAGGCTCACAACCAAGAATAGCCATGACATGTGCATTAATTGTGCTTTGTGCCTCCAGACATCAGGGTCAACTTGGCCCTTGCCTCCAATGGACCTCAAAAAGGCTATGGGGATTCCAATATTCCAGAGCTTGCTTGTGCAAATAAGTAATTCTCAGTTCTCTGAGAAAGCACGGGGATGGTCACTAGGGTCCATCTCCCGAGACGTGAGGAATCTCTTCATGGGAACGTGATTTCACTTTCATTACAGGAGCTTAGAGTGTAATAGCAGCCTCAAGTCTGGAGACCAAGTAAGGGGTATAACTGTCAGAAATTGTGAAGAGGGCCTTCTCTATCCTTACTGGTGCCTCTCTGTCTCTCTTGCCTCTAAGAGTGCCACCATCTAGGGACCATTTTAGAAATCTGTGCAAGCCGGGCTGTCTTACAGCCCTTGCTGGCCATGATAGTAATTATATACACCTTGTTTTCTGACAGTGAGGTGTGACCAGCTAGCTTCCGGCCTTATGGGATTCAGTGAACTCAGTGATAAGATCTTCATCAGCCCTCCTCCCGAGTCCTCTGGCCACATGGGTACCCTTCAGTAATACCTTCCTCATCACCCTAGTAAAAGAGTTCTTCAGGCCTCATGGGACAAACAGAGCTAGCAGACCTTCTGGAACTGTGTGATGGAGCAGCCCTAGGAACCCACTGGAGCCTCCCAGTGTCTGCCTGCTTGGCTTTCCATCACTTTGTTGGTAATCGTCTGGTTTCATTTGGGCCATTGTTTTAGCCAAGCTTCTGAGAGACATCTCAGGAGGGTCTCAGAACTCAAACTTGGGGACCTTGCCAGAGTGCTGTATCTTGTGTAATGGGAGATTACCTTGTGTTGACAAAGCTCTCCGTACCCAGCTTTATATTCTGGCCTCCCTCCAGTCCAGACCCGCTCTTGGTTCCTGGTTCTCCTGCAGCACAGCCAGGTCCTACAGCTTTGGATAGAATCCTCTAATCCCTTAACAGGCCCAGGAATCCCCCAGGCTGGCTCTGCTGAAATTTGGCCTCAATTTATGCTCGGGAGTCCAGGAGGGGAGCTGGGAACAGTCCCCAACCCGGAGAGCAATCATGGGGTTCTCACATCAAATGAAAGACTTCCATACGTTTTGCAAGCAGAGACCGCTGTCTCTTCCATTGTAGAGTATGCGAATATTCCATCGCAAGCGTCAGGGCCCACACTGTTCCTTCCAGTGCCTTGTTTACCGTGCAGCCAGCCCAGGCTGGGAAGTCAGTTTTTCTAAAGTTCTGTCATTCTGACAGTGAAATCCGTGGCTGGCTTTCTTCCCGCCTGCTCTGGCTACAGGCATGGAGGTTCTTTCTAAATGCTGACACCTTGCTTTAAATAGTTAATTATAACTTCAGGCCTGCCATTTTCTCCCTTCAACAAATCAATGCCACTTAGCTCAAAATCACCCAGTCCTCACAATCCATTTTTCCCCTTCTGCAGTCTTGTATTAAGGACTCAATTGTATCTCTCACCCCAAAGTTAAATGACAAAACCCCAAACTCCAGCATAACTGTATTTGAAGATAAAAACTTTAAAGAGCTAGTTAAGGTAGAACAAGGCTGGGCTTTACTCCCAAATGGCTGTTGTTGCTATAAGGAAAGAAAGGGACAAAAGGGAAGTCCAGGCACAGAGGAGTGACTAGGAGGTGGCCTTGAACTCAAGGACAGCAAGTGACCACAGGAGAAAGCAAGCCAAGAGGCCCCTTGTTCTTGACTCCCAGCCCCCAGCAGTATGATAAATAAAATCTGTGATGTTGAAGCCCCCAGGTTGCTGGGCTTTCCCTGCCTGCTCCAGCAGACTCAAGCATGTTCTAGCTTTCCTAGGCATGGATCCAATCATGTATCCTCTGACAGGTTTACTAAGGGATGGTGTCAGCCCTCACACTGGCTTGGGCTTTGGGACCACCAATGTTTCACCCATTGCCAGCCAGGGGATCGTCATGGCAACCTAGCCCTGGCCTGCGTGCCTTAGTGACCATTTTCCCGTTGGGTTTACATGCTTACAATTTGGGGCCGCTCTTGACACTCAATGTAAAAACAGAACCAGGACAAGGGTGCTTCCTCAAGCTGCCTATCAGGGATGATGCTCAGAAGAGGGCTGGTGGAGGTAAGCTGCCTAAGGAAGATCACTGCCCTTTTACTCTCCCATGTTAGCTATTAATCATCAGCAGAAGTCTGCCACCAAGGAAGGGACAATAGGTTCTCAGCCTCTAGGGAGAGCAGCTCCCCGTTGGTCAAGGGCAAACCTCTAGAAAAGCAGTCTGAAGTATTTTAAGGCAACAGTTAGAGCATCTGGATAAAGGGTTGATCTTTTTAGTAAATATAGGATCTGGGTGGGACACCAGAAGCATCTAGAATAGATAGTAGATGGATGAATAGAAGGAAGAATGGGAGGATGGATGGATGGGTGAATGGTGGGAGGGTGGATGAATGGATGAACGGTGGATTGGTGGATGGATGGATGGATAGGTGGGTGGGTGGGTGGGTGGGTGGATTGTGGGTGGGTAGATGGGTGGATGGATGGATGGGTGGGTGGGTGGGTGGATGGGTGGGTGGATGGATGGTGGATTGGTGAGTGGATTGTGGGTGAGTGGATGGTGGATGTGTGGATGGATGGTGGGTGGGTGGATGGATGATACATAAGAATCTTGCAAAGATGAAGAAAATGTAAACCTGCTGTTAGAAAACAATAGCCTCCTTGCATTCGACCCCTGCTACCTTGACCCGCTGGGTACCCAGTATACTATTATATATGGTGATCATGGTAATGAGGACTTGAATATATGCTATGGGAACACCAAGGAGAACCACTGTGATTCTGATCCCTGTGCAAGCAGACCCTGAGCTGAATTAACATGCCAAAAGAAAGGCAAGACCGGGCAGAGGGGAGAGAAGACTCAGACAGTCCCACTAACGGCCTTAGCTGATGCCAGTGGAATCCGCTGTCTCAGGCTGACTCCTCCCTGAGAGTCCAGACCTTCTCACTGGAGTTAGCACGAACCAATCAACTGACCCACAAACAGCACAGTGTCCATTACCATCAAGAGACATGGTCCAAGAGGGGGAAGCTTTCCACTATGAGAGGGCAAGTGGCCTGGATCATGAGGGAGAAGGGAGTTCTTTCACTGGACCTGATGTAGCCATGCTCTATTCTTCAATGCCAGGGCAGGAAGTGCTCAATGAGGCTGTTTTACACTAAAGATTTTTTGAGGAAAGAAACAATTAGGAACGATTAACTAAGATACCTGTTCTCTCTCTTTTGTTTTTCCTTTTAAGAACAAGCTGGAAAGTCTGCCTTAATTAACCTGCTTTTCATCTGGAAGAGGATCTCTGAGCATCTCAGCCTGCCTGGAGACAAATGGGAAGGAGCTTGTCAAACATTCCTACAAGGACAGGAAAGGGAAGTTGGGAGGGCAAAGGTCAGCTTGGAGGACTGCTCAGACTCAAATAACTATCTGCAACTCACTAATTGGGCTGCCAAAATATTTCAGGGCAAAGAGGAGAGAGGCAGATAAATAGTTTTGCAGCAAAGGGTCAACGGGGGCTCAGTGAAGAGGTAGAGTCAAACCCCTCCATCAAGTGCGGTCTGGGGATTAAGTGGTTCTGGATGAGTCTGGGGTAGCTGGTAGCCATGGAACCTCCTGTTTCCATCTCAAGGTCGAGACTACACCTCTGCTTTATCTCACCCCTCAGCGTGACGGTACTACAGGGCAGATTGCTGGTTGAGAGCCGGGAAGGTGTGTTACTAAGTACAGGTTACCAAGGAGACTGAGAAGGCTAAGTCAGGGGGAAGAGGCTCCTCGTGCTTCTTCAGAGGGCAAAGCCAGGGTCCCAGAAGGAAATGAGAGGCCAGTGCAGTGTCACTAGCGGAAGGCAAAGAAGGCCATGTGGTTTGTGAGCAGAGGAAGCTTAAGACGGAGACTAGATTATGTGAAAGCAAAAAGAGGGCATGTTTGCCTGCACCTTCTCTGCCCCGACCCCTACTCTTGCCCACCTATACTTCCCTTAGCAAATCAGGTGGGACATGAAGTATGTCCCCCATCACGCTACTCCTTGGTATGAACTTCTGGCCACTGTCTCAAGTGAGTTCCCAGAGATGTGCAGGCAAGCTGCAGATCCACTCAGTCTCCTTTTACTAATTCTTCTTCCTACCTCCTCCCTGGTTGCCTTGTGAATAAAGTCTCTGGAAGCCAGGCCGGGTGGTGTGGGAGGTCCTTCTGTCTATGTGTTGTGTTTATTGGTTAATGAATAAAGAAGCTGCTTTGCAGAGCAGGTTGGGACTGAGCAGAGCTAGGTGGGGAGGACTGGACTGAATGATGGGAGAAAGAAGGGCAGAGTTAGGGAGATGCCATGGAGCCGCTGAAGACAAATGCTGGGAATTTTACCCCGTAAGCCACAGCCACGTGGCGATATACAGATTAGTAGAAATGGGTTAAATTAAGCTGTAAGAGTTAGCTAATAAGAAGCTAGAGCTAATGGGCCAAACAGTGATTTAAATAATACAGTTTCTGTGTGGTTATTTTGGTTCTGGGCAGCCAGGACCAACAAGTGGCCTCTCTCCTTCAACAGCTGGGATGGCCTGAATGTTTTAGAAGAACAAATCTCTGCCCAGGGGTCTGTGTAATTCAGTTCTCTGCTCCTATCTCAAGTGCCAAGTTGGAAGTAGGCCCAGTTCAAACCCTACCTCTCCACCTTCTCTCCAAACACCGACACTGTAAGTGACAGACGGCATGCCACATGAATGCAGAAAGTAATGCAGCCTGGGAACAAGGGGAGAGGGAGGTCTGTCATGAGTTCTGAGCTTTCAAGGGTAAAAGCATTGATGGCAGAAAAGGAAGAGAGAAAAGAGACGATAGTAGCAAGGGGCAGCTTGTACAAAGGTATAAGGCTTGGGCATTCTGCTGTAGATGTATTCAGAGAATAGTAGATAATAAGACACAGCCTAGTGCAGTCTGCAAGGAGGAATAGAAAGAGATTGTAGGAGTCTGCGAATCTATGAATCTAACGGTTTCAGATGTGGAAGCCCCAGTGAGTGCTTTTAGGAAGATTTTTACTGAGTGGTCTCATTAGATTTAGATTGCAAAAGTACCCTTCCAGTGACCTCAAGGATGGCGGACAAGAGTGGAGGCAGTTAGGAGCCAGGAAGCTATTGAGCTAGAGGAGGAAGAGCAGAAACAGGCCAAGGAGTTAGCCCTAGCCCCAGGTGGTTGTAGACAGAGCCTGTGTGATTTTAGGATGTCAAGCTCTCCTCACATGAGGTGGGTAGGGGTCGCCATAGCCCTGTCTCCAGGCAGCAATCACAGCCTTCCTTGATTTCATTTGCTGGCTGTTCTCCCTCTAACAGCAGAGTGTGGTAGGCATTTAGGAGCACAAATAAGCAAGGCATCTTATGATCTTCACTGTGGTCACGTGAGAAGGTCACTTCTGCTTTGTCACCTTTTTTTTTAGTCTCTGTGTGTGTATTTGTGTGTGTATGTGTTGTGTGTGTATGTGTATGCATGTATGTGTGTGTTTATGCGTGTGTATGCATGTGTATGCATGTATGTGTGTGTTTATGTGTGTGTGCATGCATGTGTATGTATTTGTGTGGTTGTGTTTGTGTGTTCGCATGTGTGTACGTGCTCATGGACAAGCATAACGTACCCCATTATGAACGTGGAAATCAGAGAACAACATGAGGGAGTTGGTCCTCTCCTTCCACCATGTAGGTCCTGAAGATCAAGCTCAGGTCATCAACCTTGGTGTCAATGACCAGTACCCCATGAGCCATCTAACCAGTCCTCCATTTATTTCATTTTACTTTTTTGTTGTACGAGTGTAGAGGGCTGGGCTTGTCTGCTTCCTTGGAAGTAAGATAAGAAGAGAAGCCCTGTAGAAATCACAAAATAAGGCCAGAACTGCCGAGTTCATTGTAGATTGAAAACGCTGACACCCATTGTGCCTACTCAGACCATACACTGTTGTCTAACTGAGTAACCAAATATCATGATTTGTCTAGAGAAGTCCCGGGTTATACTTTGTACTCAGTTTTGACCATTGACCTCATCGTTTCTACTCTTAGAAGTCATCAAGTTTTGGGTGAAAACTACTATGCTGGCCTTCCATATTGTTAGCTTGCTTGTGAAAGGCCCCTGGTCGCCTGTGTTTAAACACTTGGTGGCCAGATGATCCTGCTATTTGGAGAGGTTGTAAAACCTTTAAGAGGTGAGGCTGGGTTGGCTGGAGTAGGCCACTGGTCATGGACCCTAAGGGTGAAGCTCCACCCACTTACAGGCTAGTCATTGCAAAGATTAGAGCAGGCCTTAACAGAAAGCCACAACCTTCATGTCCTACTTCCTCTGACCTGTGAGCCAGGGTAGATCCTCCCTTCCTGGCGGCTGCTTATGCTTGGTGTCTGCTCACAGCAGCAGTAAGTAGCTGATAGTCACATCCAACACAGCCTTCTCTTCTCCTGAGTCCGGATACCACCCCACCGCCTTTTCCCACACAGTCCAGTCTCTCAGCCACAGCTATCAATCAGCCTGACTGTGAAATCTACTGGCCACCTTATTAGAAAGAAGAAGGCAAGTCTAATATTGCCTGGGCCATGTAGACATGTAATCTGACCTCTCTGAGCCTATGTGTCTACATTCGACAATTATGGGTGGCATTTACCTACTGGGATTGTTAGTTTTGTTAAAATCACCTGGGAAGAGGGTATCAACAAAAAAAAGTGTCTAGATTAGGTCGGCCAAATAATGGGCATGTCTGAAGCTGTGTAGGCTCTGTCAATTGATGGGAGAAGCCTAAAAAGTGGGTGGCACAATTCTCTGGGTTTGGATCCAGGGTTGCATAAAGGGGAAAAAGGGCGCCGAGAACAAACAGATTCATTTTGCCCTTCTCTTGATCACAGATGTGAACAGCTGCTTCCAGTTCCCGCCTCCCTGACATCCCTGCATGATAGGAACTGTAACCAGGAACTGTGAGCTAAAGTAAGGCCATTGTCCCCTGTTTGTGTCAAGATATCTTATTACAGCAATAGGTGCTGAAACTACCTACCAATACCTACCGACAGGGCTGGTGTGATTATTCAAGGGCAGAGTCTCATGGCTCATGGTACCATCCTTGCCCCTGCTGCCTTTGGAGACTGCATCTCCTTGGACAAGAGGCTGCTGACGCCAAACTCCTCCCGGAGTTTAGACCTCTCCTCCCCTAATCCTTCTTTCCTTTGGAGACAGACAGGAAGGCCCTGCAGGGCCCCTACCCTTCAGATCAGCTTCACCATGAAGCAAGACTTCTCTTTGTACTTTAACAAACATACGTCTCATATTGACGATCCCCAGGGACCCTCAGCAGCACCACACATGCGGCTTTGAAGTTGAGAGTGTGTTTAATGCACAAGGGCCCCGGCGTGGTTCAAGGACAGTGTTTTTAAGTCCCAGGAAAGACAAGAAGTTTTGATCGCAGGAAAAAAAAAAAAAGATTCTTAACAGACTTGAATGATAAAAGACCATAATGGTAGGCACCATTGAAGAGGGAGTAGGGGACAGATAACTGACTGGGATGTCTGCCTTCTCTTCCAGCTACTGCCAGATCTTAGCCTCAGCAAGCTGCACTTCCTTAGCTAATTGTAGGCACAGGAGGACAGTGAGCAGGAAAAGGACCCTAGCTAAGACATGGAGGACTCTAGGATGAAGACATGGTATAGGGCAATGACCTCCTGTAGAAACCTCCTTGTTGGCAGGAGACGTCACCGACCAAATCATGAAGGCCTAAAGATGTCATCACAGGGGCTATTGGCTGATCTAGATTTATCAGTAAGGGCATAACCATTGTTCATATCTCTCTCTTTCTCTCTCTCTCTCTCTCCTCCCTCTCTGTATGCATATATGTATATGTGGGAGTGTGTAGCAAAGTCAGAAATCAACCTACTGTGTTGTTCTTATAGGTACCACTTGCTTTTTTTTTTTNTTTTTTTTTTTTTTTTTTTAATGGTTCTTAGTGCCTGGAGCTTGCCAAGGAGGCTAGGCTGGCTAGACAGTTCCAAGAATCTGCCTGTCTCTGGCTTCCCAGCACAAGAATTACAAGCGCACGCCACCCTCCCCAGCAAACTCAGGCTTCATGCTTGCAAAGCAAGAACCTTACCAGTGAAACAATCTGCTCACCTCTCACAGGAGGTTTGCTAGTTCAGAGCTAAAGCATGACTGCAGCACCATTGCCCACAGCTCTAATGAGAGTCCAGGCTTCGGGAAGGAAGCTAAGAGTCACTGTTATGGGAGCTCCTAGAGGAAAATATACATGGAAGAAAGCTCCCGGGAGTATGGTTGGAACCTGGGGGGATAAAAGCCTTGTGTCACCAACTAACTGTTCCACTGCCAGAGTAACTTACCAGATGCCCACTCCAGGAGAGAGGGCACCAGAGCAGGTCACCGGGATCTTGATGATACCCACAATTTAATGTGTCTCTTACTCAACCAAACAATCAGACCTCTCCTTCATGCTGTCTGTTGCCCCCTATGCCGTATCACACAGGCACACACACACACAAGGGGAGGCAACACCATCAGATATCCAATTAAACAGATATTAGACTTCAGTGGCCTACCACAGTAAACTCAGTAGTTGACATAAAGAAATTCAGGGACCTGAGAGTTGAAATATATTTAATAAGTCTGTCTGCTATTGTCTGGGGTCTGTTTCCTGCTAAAAATCCAATGATTTCTTGAAGTAGTTTGCTAAGTGACTTCAGACCTCTTTAAAACTTTGTAACAGGTGACACTTAATGTGAGCTGAGGATGTGCAGATAGGCCCACTTGATACATAGCCTAATGTGTCGCTCTCTCTCCCCCATACACACATCTTTTACCATTTATGCATGTGCACACACATCTGCCTCACAACGATGCTATAATGTCTATGTAAATTGGATGTTTAATATCCTTCAGATAAATGGCTTCAGAAAGAACATGGGTACAATAGTCTGTCCCTGCATTAACATGATAGGCTCTGCCTCCCAAATTGGCTCAGAGAAATTAGCAAGAAGGGAGGAAGGATCAGACAAATAATAAACCTCCTTACCTGCTCATTAATTTAATCTCCCACCACCACCTTCACCACCCAGTCTCCGCCT